GGTTCATATGTTAGATATTTTAATCTTTAGAAATTATGTTTCAAATGAAATCAATAACATATTCAGCATTACAAAAAAAAAATCTGTATTGAATTGGATAGTCAATGCTTAAACAAAGCTTTTGTTCAATTTCAGATATTTCACTTTGTTTCATCGTATAGAAAAAATCGATTTTTTCAACAATCAAACAATATTTTTTCAATAAACATCATTAAATTTTCTTTTTAGTCATATGATGTATAAAACCAAAAACGAAATATTAAATAAATATCGATTCTAATAAGATATAATGGTTTTCCGGTTTTTTTTTGAGTCGAAGTTAAGTTGAAAAAAATATTGTTCGGATATTTCAAAAGAAAATTTTTAAAATTAATACGACAAGCTCTATTTAATCATGGTAAGAACAAGAAAAACAAAATTTTTCTTATAACTTCACACTGCTAACACTTTAGAAAACGTGAAGACAATATTTTAAATGATAATTTTTTTTCTTTTCTTTATAAATAGTTTAAGAATTTTAACAGCTTGAACAACACTCTTCATCATAAAGATTTGTATAAATAAAAACTAGATAAATATTATTAAAGACTATATTGAGTTCCATGTAGTAGCACGTGTAAAATCTTTCTAAGAAATACTTTTAGTACAAAAAACTAATCAATATTATTTGAATTTTCTTTAAAGAATAATGTCGATGTAGAACATACGTGATCATCTGTTATTTGACAACGAGAGTAATACATTAACAAAAAACGTTCATCTAACTTATGAGAGTATCAATATAGAGAAATAGAATTGTTAAAAAAAAAAAAACTTTTACTAAGCCCAAATATTCGAATGTAGTCAGGAAAAAAAAATAAATACTTTTTTCAACGTGAATTTCTTTTTTTTTTAATTAAATAAAACATGGAATAACTATATAGCATTGAGTACAAATCATTTGAATTTATTACTTGTTTTTTTCAAATGCTGCAACTCAACAGTTTAATTTATATTAGAAATAGTTCAATATGAATGAATTAATGAATTAAGTGAATAATTATAGACAATAACTTTTATTCTACATATTGATATTTTAAAAACAAGAGAATGATCCAGAAAAAAAAAATCTTCTAATAATTAGTTTACAAAGTGACATTTAGAGTTTAAGTGATGATGATAAATATCGTTTATAATACATAAAAGAAATATTTTAATAGACATGATGCATTTCACGGTTATTAAAACAAATTGATAAGTTTAATATGTTTTCAACAACAGGTAAACTGCACTAGTACCCGTCTGCGTCATCAATTTCAACTTATTACATGATTATCTTTTATTGAATAGTCAAACATTGTTAGATAGATCAATATTATCATTTAACCGTGAAATAGTTTGCTTGATAGACTTCTGTCAGTGTAGATTCAGATAAATTACATATACATGTGACATACAAAATTATATAAAGCTTATCTAGATTCATATTTAACATAAGATGCATAGATGAAGCTAGCACCAGATTCGAGTAAAACTTGTTCGTTTTCATCTACAAGGTTGTCTTAATGAAAAGGTGCAAAACATAATGAAAGTAATATAGTAATTTTGTGTTTTTTTTTTGAAAAAATGGAAGTCATCCAAGGAAAATAGGACGAGTGTAATCGAATGATTTCAAATTTTTTGGAATAATCAATTTGATGACATTTTTCTAATGAAAATGCGAAAATTAATCATTTAAATGAAATATTTTCTTTTTATTATTTCATGGGCGTAACTAATTATCTTTATACAGCACATAAAAAAATATGCATAGAACAGCATTATTGATATGCGACTAATGACGATAGAATTAATATAATTATCTGTGATTTTGCTTATTTGTACCTGTTTTATTGTTAACTTTTTTTTTCGTACATCAATAGTGGATAAATAGAAAAATAAAGCAAGGACATATTTTGAATTTTGTACAAAGAAATTAGCATCTATAAATTAACAGAACAAACTAACAATTGGATTGATTTTTCCCTGGTAAGTTTTTTTTTTCGTTCTGCATTTATATTTTTTCACAGTATATTTCTGATTTAGTTAAAAGAACAATTTTCTTTTAAAAAGAAATAAACTATTAGAATTGCTTTCTTCATAGATGTAATATGTTCAGCTTCGTACAGATATGTTATCGATCGCTCCGAAATTTACATTTTCCTAACTAAAAGTGCTCGAAAAGAAACACTGGATAAATGTTGAATCAAGTTTTGAATTCGTTCCAATACGAACTAAAACAACAAGCAAATCTTGATGAGCGATTAATGTCAGAGCAATTAGGCAGACGAGAAGATTCATGTAGAAAACTGATTTCCACATTTAAAAACGACTTAGTTTATACCGATAGGGAAAAAAGCTTTTAGCGCTATCTCTACAAGATAAAAATGTAAAACACATGGGTCCACTTTACTCATGATGAAGAAGCGTCAGCACGTTTATCACATGCTATATCGAATCCGAAAATGGGAATGTTGAAAAGTTCTTTAGACTATCAGAAACATGTCGATATCTTTGTTTTAAACTTTTCTTTTAGGATACGGAGTTTATATTTTTAAATCGCTCTTCATTTGAAAATTTATTTATTTAAATATAGGCTTACGATATAGATCCTATCGTTCAAAAATCTGAAATACCATGTTTATCTGTCTATTGCAGCCTGTATGGCGAGGGGATAAATCCAATTTTCTCACTATATGATTCAACACTTATGTCCGATCGTGTTTTACAGAAGCTTGAAGTATTATCTTGCAGAATATGTATGGATAGTGTAACATACTCGCTCCATACGAGTTTTTGTTTTTCTGAATACTCCGTATGTTAATAAACGATTTCGACATTCAATTACTACTTTAGTTATCATTCAAAACTTTTAGATCACTGTACATTTCTTGAAATTTTTGAAGCTGAATTAGCATGTTTCAATAACTATTTTATGGATTATTATCGAGATTTCCAGATTTTACAGAAAGGGTGAGGTATGACGTTTGGTTCTTTTAGACTTTTGAGAGTATGCTTGAGAAGTGCCTCAGGTTGGTTATACTGTAATATTTTGCCTTATTCGCATTTTTTTCGATTCTTCCAGGAAACGTCTCTTAAGAGGTATTGGTAGATTTGAATAACTATTGATAGTGTTTCGGATTGAATTTAATTATACAAACTGCAAACAACGCTTCTACTTTGCTGTTTTTAAATCATGGTATTTATTATGCACTCTATAATTCATCAAAGACTTAATAGATATTTAGAATGCGGAATGCATTTTGTTACAATCGATTCATCTTCTAGTTATATTTTATTTTGAATATTTGATGTTAATATATGAATTTAAGGTCTAACTGTACAATGTAGCAACCCTAAGCGCACATGTTGTAAGCAACATCTTTGCCAAGATGCAAGGCACAGAAAAGTGAGCAGATCTTCGAAATAGCTGTACAAGATAATATAAATATTTTGTATCAAGACCTGTAGCCACGTCTTGAGTTTAGAATTTTTACGATCTAGATAATAAATATTTAAGTTCTTTGATCGAATATTTCGTGTTTTAAAATCATTTCTTCTGATCTTGGATGCAGATATTTACATCTTAGGTAAGAGTAATCAAGGTTTTCAAGATCTTGACCTAATAATATCTTGTTCTCTAATTTTTATTAATTATACAAAAACGTTTATATGAACGTTTACAAAGTATGTAATCTTAATTAAAAGACATTGTAACAATAAGAAACTATTATAAAATCCTATTTGATTTACATAAATAGTTTTAAAATCCCAAAAATTATATGTAAATTACCTAAACTAATTGAAAGAACGAATGCTTTCAGCTGAAAACAATTAATATAAGAATTGAATTTAATTAGAAATAAAGTTTATTCGATTAAAATAATCGATAGAAAGAGAATTATACTTATCAATGATGTCCAAAGTAGACTATTAATTTTGCTTTGAAGTCAAAATCCTTTTAGACTACTCTGGGACTACTACTTTAAAGACAACACATAAAATGAAACAATCATTTCATTTCAAGACTCTACCAACATCAGAACTTGAACATCCTTCAGACTGTCATTTTCATCGGAATTTCTACTTTTAAAAAAATTAAAGCTGATATAGTTTAGTGTATTTCTCTTCTCTGTATTATTCGAATCATTAATCGTGTTGGATAATATATGCTTTCATTGTTGAAAATCTCTTGCATAAATGATATGCTTAAAAATCATTGGAGAATTTTTTCCGCAAATATATTACTATAAATTAAAGTATATGTGATTATATAAGTAAATCAACGATATCACTATTATTGTAGTCAAGATGTCGGTGAAAGATATTCAGCACTGTTATTTTATTCTGATCTTAGAATTATATAATTCTAGATCAGATCTTACCAAGATCTTGATTATAGATGAATCTTCTACGATACAGAAACACAAGAATGAATTATCTTATCGACAGCAATATCGAACAATTCATATCTCTGTATCGTAAAAAGGAATTGAACTTAATTTTTGTCATATATTAGCTTCATCCATTGTTCATTTTTTTGTAACTTTAAAGTTCTGCCCTCCTGCTTTGTTTTTATTTTTGTACTTGTTGATTCAGAGCCTTCGTGGTGTTTTAAAAATTAAATAAATAATAGTATGAAACGCGTCGATAGACTGATATCTGCCTTTCTCTAATTGTTGTAATGAAAGCATATTTATTTAATGTTCTCTCGTGCTTAAATTTTCGGCTTAATCGATTTCTGAAAAGCAAAAGTTGAGACTGGCAAACTGAGCTTGTGTTTGCATTAAGATATAAGTCGATTGGTTTTCTAATTGATTCAAGTACATCTCTTATCTACTGAATAGTACTGGCACATCGATATATATTCGATTTGATGAAAGTTTATATTCATTGAAGACTATAATATATCATACAAAATATGTATTAAATAATTTTCATATTTTTCTGAACACTATGGTGACAGGTTAGGAATGATTCGATTAATCATTCTTAATAGATTTAGATGGAGGCATATCGTAGTTGCCCATCATTTGTTTTTTTTCGTCATAATAACCTAACCGATCCGACTGAATGCCTTGAAGTAGATCACGACACTGGGTCAATTCCTTAATAGCCATTGTTAGACGATCGACTATTTGTGTGCGTGTTGGCCATGGATGACCACTGACGGCTAGATCAAGCATTTGAGCGTTTGCACGCCACGTCTTATGCATAGCAAATTCCAAATCAGCTGTGATCTCATTACGAAATGTGTCATATCGTGTATATTCTTCTGCAAATGGATTTGTTGAGATATAAGAATTAACAACAGTGAAACGAAGCTCTGAACAAGATTGAATGCCGGTGACTCGATGTGCTAGATGACTGCCTAAATATCTACTTGATAGTATTTATGAATGGATGTCTTTCTAAATACTCACCTTGCATGAACACACATGAATTCGGACCAAGATAGTCAATTGGTCGAATTAAATCTTTCGGCACTTGACCCTTGTATTCTTCGATAAGACGAAAGGCTTCTTTGGGTTCGCGTTCGATTAGCTGAAGTTCGCCGCCGACCGTTTGGCTCATATCACAGGCAAGCAGAATGAGAACATATGGCACACTATCGCAATGCCAAGCATCGATATTTGTTTTGGTCGCACGACCGATATTGATATGACTATAAGTAGACTGAAGTGCTGTTGGAAGAAGCTGAATATCTCCAGTCATGTTTGACAAATGTTTGAGTACACGTGGACATCGATTAAAATCTTGAATCCATTTGCTGCGATAGCCATTGTAACAAATATAAGCCGGTTGACGCTCATCACCCATTTCGTGTTCAAGTGTACGTTGAATGATATTACGCAGAACTCGATAGCCTTCGTCGCTCAGAAGTCGAAATGGACCGGTGTAGGCCACTTGACTATCACCGTTGGGTGCTACCGGTTGATTGAGTTTAGGCGCTTTGGAAACACGACGAAAACCGTCGAGTAGCACGACAAAATCAGGTTCAGTCAAAGACAAATGAATGTCAGGATCGTAAATAGGCTCATCAGGTGCAAATTCGTATTCGGAATGCTTCAAGCGAGGAGGCAATGCCAGGGAGTCAAGACTAGTAAGAGTCATACTGTTGATAATGTTTCAACAATTTTTGTTTTGCAAACTTGGCTAATTGAGTTTGGTTGTGTTTGTTAGTCCATTTGTATGCACGGTAAAGATAAGTTTATCTTGTTCTCTGCCTATGTCAACAGAAAGACATTTCGAAACATCTTCAAACCTATGAAATTTAACATGTAAGTTGTTTCTTTTCTATACTTTACCTCTTACGTTGCTAGAGCCAAGTTCAGAAAAAAATCTTTTAAATAAATATTCTGAATGAGGTTCGTCAGCTCTATCGAACTATAAACATGAACTAAGGCAAATATCAAACATAATCGTACTGTAATGATAAAGAAGGAACATAGAAGCCTATATGGCTCCACATAATATTTATTCAGTTTATCTCTACCTAAATATTTCGTCGTTTTTATTGATGAAAGCACCTGTATAGGAAAAGTACGATGTGAGTGTAGTTGTGAGTTTCCTATCGAAAGACATTCAGACACAGCCAGACCAATCTCAACTACCCCATCCTATTTACCCTAAACAGGTGTGGACCTCAGGGGTGTGTGTGTGAGGCATGTGTGTGGATAAAGAGAAGATTTAGTAGCACATTTACCCGCTCAGGCATATACTTGAACTGACATCGACAGCCACACCAACAAGCATCTCCAATACCCAAATTCAAGTTCAAGTCAATTCAACATGATCGGCATCTAAGCCTGCTTGCATTTCGTTTTTTTCTGGCGTACATTTCCATTATTTGAATTTGTCTTTCAGCAGAAGTTCCGACTCACGAATTTTCTCGTATTTATGACTCAGAGAAGGTCATATAAATAAATATATAAAAATAACTCCATATTTTTTAAGGTTAAAAGAGAACGACTAGCTATAGCTTAGGTGCCGTCAAATAACCGAGCAACTAACTATGAGTGGCGCCCCAGACAGGCACTGACGAATGACTAGTCGCTCTTATGGCAAGTTCACTGTTGATTCACTTCAGAAATGATCTATATAAAGGCTAGATTTTTTTGAACAATGCTACACTAAGATTCTCTTAATGAGGATTTTACGTAAACATCTGAGTAGCTAGCTGGGCAATGAATTTAAAAGTATGAGTATTTACAAAAAAGTGTCGGCTTTGGAATTTCTCATAAAACATTTTCGTTTTATAGTTCTAACGACTTTTGAAACTAAGCAAAATTTGGAATCAGATAGCATGTAAATCAAGAGGAAGATCTCATGCCGGAATAGAATTTTGCATGGCAGCGACTAGCCGCTGCCGTTAAAAATTCACTGAAGATATGCTTGGGGTTGTTGCAATCGATGGGAAAGATGTCTACGGTTTAGATCTGACTGTTTCAATAGAAACCAGAACTGGCAAAACAGACTGACAAGTACTTTTGAATGAAATATCAGAACCGTTGTGATGCACAAGCACACTATTTGACTAGAACATTCAACGGAAAACATCATGCAAAGAATTCAATTCAGTCAATTCAAAGTAGATTTGAATGAAATAAACTAAGCTTTTCTGTCATCATGTATCGATGTCTGTGTGCATTGTCTTGTCTAAGTTTATTCGGGTATTTTTGAAATTATCTGACTAATTCGATGGCCACTTTAAGCACAAGCATCATGCACATGGTGTATGCCGAGAATAAGTCTGGTTAAATATGATTTATTTTAATATAAAAATTCAGCTAAACACGTATTTCTGTAGTAGACATCTGTAAATGATATTGTTGGTGGATGCACTCGTAACTATAAGGATTTTGGTAAAAGTTTTGAACACGTATGGTACATTTTCATGCTAGTGTCACGAATGCGCTTTCTTTGATTGATTGTCTCTCTATATATTGAATGTAGTCTCTCTTCTCGAAACATATAGATACTGCTGCCTTAGTATGGCTCATAGGGGTTTGCTTTTGGTATCACTGTGTGAGTCTCTGTTTGATTGGATGAATTTTATGACAAAAAGGATCACACAGACACGCATGACATTGTACACAACGACAGTGATGCTTATATTACTATTCATACTCAAATGTAACGTTATTCAAACGTTCGATACTTTATTTTGTGAAGTATGTAGTACCGAAATAGTCAAATATTCAGCCGAAGGTCAAGCGAATCATACAGAAGAGGGTTACTTGTGGAATAAGACAATACATGAGAAACATGAAAATCTATAGTGAGGTTTAATTCATGACAAATACGCTGTATCTCAACATTAATGATGTTGACTAGATTATTTTAATTACAATTTTAATTTATTGGTTTGATTGTTTCAAGTTTTTGCTGTTATTTTATTATGCTCGTCCAGCAATTTACATATTTATTTTCATGTAACACTCATATGCAGTGATTCCTGATTGTAGCATCAAGTTTCAGTCACATGATTGATAATGGTCATATAATGACCGAAAATTCTCATTTCATTTTCATGTTGTATCATAGAATTATCACTTGATAAACTAAAGTAAAATTTATTTTTACGTTTATAGTTCTAGTATTTGTCATGAATTACATCTCAAGATAGATTGTCATTTTTCTCATATCTTATAAAAGTTGTTTAAATGAAAATCCTATATTGTTTATTGATAGCTCATCAAGCACATCATCTAGTCCTCCAAAGCGAACTAGTGAAAACTTTATCTTTCTATTTTTCTACTTGAAGTAAAGTTATCAGTTATAAAGAAAAGAAAAGGATGACCCTGAAATTTCGTATTCTATTTCATGCGTAGAGATAGAGAGAAGAAGTAATTCAACTAAAAAGATATGATTTATTCCTTTTTATTTTTCGTTAAACCCAAACACTTTACTTTCACAATAAAAAAAATGCTTCGCCTCATCCTTATACTGTTGGTTCTCTTTTATTCATCTTCTGATGCCTTAACAAAAACCACCAAAACTACATCTACAACTACTCCTTCAACTCGAAAACTCTTCTGTGCTTCCTGTTCCTACGAATACACTTTTGATCAACTACGAAATCGATCAGCTTGGATATCGCCTTGGTCTCGTTGTCAAAATCAGACGTCCTCGACATCTAAATTTGGTGCAACAGCCTGCCATACACTTATTCGTGTCGATTATGATCGCAAATATGTCACCATCTACTATAATGCATCTTACCTTTCTCTAAAAAAATTATCCGATGATGATCACCGTATTATGTTTGAGACTACTATGAGCACAAAAGGTAGTCGTGCACAACTCAAAGGCTTCTATGAATGTTCCTTTGAAGATAATTGTCACTTACCGGTAAAAATTTTTCTTCAACTTCGAACAGCCTTGAAATTTGTTAATTACAATCACACAAATTTCATTCAACGACTGAATAAATTTTACAATAAACCGAAAACAGAAGTGTATACATATTTTCATGCTGATACATTGACGTCTACATTGAATGCATACTGTGGTGATATGAATCAATTCGATAAAAGTAGTTTAAGAACAATTGAACCAAAGTGTGTGAACAAGAAAGATAAATTAAAATCGAAAACAATGAATCTTGACGATGAAACAAAAATAACAGTGTATACGTGCAACGGGCCTCAAAATAGTTATTGTAATACAGAGAAGAAATTGAAAGAATTTTTAAATGAAGTTACGTTAACTGATTACATTCAAACATTCTTTGGATGGAAACAACCAAAAATTTAGAACTGCATTGTAACAGTGTTCGCATTAAATTAAAAAAATAAAAGATGAAAAGATTTTTTTTTAGAGATTTAGAATTGCTTAATCTTATATTGGGTCTTTTTGATCATAATCTTGCCATGAGTTCTACATTATAGGATGGAAAGAAACCATCAGAGCATTAGTCGCTCTGCGATATGTAGATGTGGTTGTGTGTCTTTTTCAACAGTCACATCCTTTGTACTTGCATCACTGACACGTACACGCAAATTTCAAATCCACCTAGAAATTCTTCTTTGGACACCGAATGTGAATTTGGCACGTAAAATTTCAACTTTACCCTTAGATACACACTAGATTATTGGTATTTAAATTATATCATGTGTTTTGATTGAATAAAAATGTGTTTCGATATGATAACAAGTACAAAGATATTTTGTTAATTATAATAACACTTTTTTAAGTATCAAAATTGCAAAGTCGTTTATAGTAAATGGCAGTGCCATCAACCGTTATTGGTACTTTGAAATTTTTATCTAAAAAAGTCTTATTTATATGATCTGTTTTTTGTTCTAATCATTGCATATTAGGCAATATATCTGATTTAATTATTTTTACATCATATAAACATTTCCAGTGCAATATTGTTCTTTTTATTTATTCATTGCTTGTTTATTATCTCACACATTTAGCAGAACTAATAACATTGCTCTAACGAAATTCGATAACTCCTTATAAACAATGTGTATCAATTTTAATACTAACTGCATCTATTGGGTTAACTTGATTGTATTTTGCTGCAGTTGAATGGTATACTTCAGTGACAAATCAATAGAATTATTCTATTCAAAAGCATCTATTAGCTGGGTACATAGATATTGTTTATATATTTGGGTTTGTGCATAGTATTCCCATAATATATTTTGTTCATTACTCAATATGTGATATTTTAAATATAATGGATACGATTTATCACCCATGGAGTAAAATATTCAAGGAAACGGACTGCGTAACGCGTTTCTGAGATTGCAGCATGCGTTTCGCAGCGTTTTTTCAATATAGAACGCGTTTCACAGCATTCTTACTTCGATAGAATGCATTTTGCTGCTGTCGTTTTTTGAAACGATCTGAAACGCGTTTTTCCAAGATTGCGTTTCGAAGCGTTTCCGAAGTAAAATAATGTCGAACGCATTTTGGTCGATAGGTAACGCGTTCCAGAGACACAGATTCGGAGAAATGTGAAACGCGTTTCGTTTTCAAACGCATTTTGCATAGTTTTTGTTTGAAATGATGCAAAATATATCCGTTTTGCATACAGAATCTTGCAGGAATTTATCTGTACAAAACGTACGAGTTAAGCAAAGTTAATTCTGGCACTA